CCCGAGCCCTGGTCGTTTGCGGAGCCGCTCCAATCCGAATCGTATGACTGCACCGACATGTCTCTTGGATCTGTAGCAGTGTTGGGACGGAATTTTCGAGATCTGAAAGGGGTTCCGGCGTTCCACGTGTCGACCTTTCTTGATGAGTCTCGCAGCTCTCCAGGAGCTTTGTTTCTGTCTGAGGTTGCCGCAGGACTTAGGACTTCGGACGACGGATTCTTAAATAGCGGAGCGGAATTCGACGGTGAGGTCTCGCCGGATGCATTGCTTTGGTTGAGTCCACTACCAGTCGTTAGTATTTGTCATTGTATCATACAAGTATAGCCTTGTCTGGTCCAAAGCATAACGGACCAATTAAGTTAATGCACTCCATGTTCTCGAATGAGAGAAGAAAGAAAGTCTCAAACAGCGACGTTCACTTACCCTCTGCACACCCTTTGCGACTTGGAGCATTGGTGACACTTTGGATATCCGGGCTCGCATTTGATCTTCTTTTCTCGGCAGGTCAGGCAAGCTTGCGCAAGTCGCTTTCGAGGTTTACCAGCTTTTGTGATACCCCATGAAGGATTGACCGCTTCGCCGTCTATTATAGCCCGGCAATAGGTGCCATCCTCGTAGACGTAGCACGGGCCTTCGCCTGGTATATCACGTTGTCCAACACAACGCGAAGATCGTACTGGAGCGCGCGAAGAACCTTCCAGTCGTCTCATTCTGACAGGTCTATTCGGATCAAACCCTAGTTCTTGCTGACTAGAGTGGGCTGTCATCGTTCCCGTTGCATCAGACATGAGCGATACTTGCCGATGCCCATTGCCTACTACGTCATGCTGTGAAGGATGGGCGAAACTTTCACGCCGTTGGAGATCTACCCGACTGACGCCAAACCCCGAGCCTGGCGTCGACGACGAGGTAGATGGTGTAGTGTTTGTACCTGACAGAGGCTGACGATGGTGGTAGGGCGTTTGAGAAGCGATAGCATTATGCTCGGGGTGGCCATGGAAGTAGCCATCATATTCATGCCGTCTCTTCAACGTCGGACTAGAAGACCCATAACGCCCAGAATGGTTGTAGAGTGCCGGAGCGCCACCCGCCCTCAATGATGGATCCGATGACTTCTTGTCAAGTAGCTCTGGTTCCAAAAGCGTGCGAAGACTGGGTAGTTGTTGCGCATTGTTATGGCTTCCACTGGAATCTCTAGGACGGATGTGCTGGCTAGGGGCGATGATTTCTGGCCGAGACGATGAAGCATGGTGCGGCGGGTAAGGGCTGTAGGAGGGCGGAGGTCCTGAATGTGAGGGTATGCTGGGTGGACGACTCATGTTGAGGAGCATAGCAGGTAAGATGCGGTTTGATGTTCGGCGCTTGAAGTGGGATGATTTCCACGGTACACCCCGTTGACCGACCACATGAGGGTATATAGAACAGCAGGAGCTATTGATTGCCTAGGACGCTCAAGAGATCCAGGCACTACTCAAGACTTGACACTGGTGCAGCCACGGCATCAGCTAATGGTCAACTTAACAGGTACATAAAGGTACGTGAGGAAGTCAGGAAGGTGGCCGACAAACAGAAGCGTCTGGCCTGGACTGGGATGTCCGCTGCGAGCTATTGCAGTCTAGAAAGTAGACTAAAGAAACAACAGTCCGTGCAGGGCTGACGTCTGGCGACTGAGCACCACTGTTCCGGCTCCTTATGAACCGCAACCGAAGCACAAAGCAACAGTGCATGTAAGAGCGTATGTAGGGGCGACACGGGAAGAACTTACAGATGCAGGGATTATGATATACGCCGCGGACGCACCTTTTGGGCGCAATTGACACTGAGCACGCAGCGAGCACTGCTTCGATTGCTTGAACGTAAGGCAAAGGATAATAGCAATAAGTATAATAATGCCCGGGTAGCAGGAGTGAGGGTGGGCGGACGACAGCGGGACCCCGTGCTCAGCCATTCAAGAGCTTACCAGGAGGCCCTTGTAAGAACAGGCTTCAAGGAGAAGCGACCGCGGCCTCCAAGTAGGTCAGCGATTATTCCAGTGGCGTGCAGTGACGGACCGCCAGGGACATGGTCGTGGAGCCTTTGCTGTTTGAGACCCGAAGATGCTGGGACCAGCCAGGGTATGGAGCAAGCCAGCCGGAATATTGGCTGCAGATATCGAGTCAATTGCCTTCAGCGGGCTAGATAGCGTGCTGCGTCAGATGCAGACTGATGCACGTTACTGCAGTCGTGGATGGCGCGTGGGCAATGCGAGCCCCGGATCGTACCAACTGGCAGCTGGCCAACCGCAGCTAATCCGCTAATGACCTGTGCAGATCATGCAGCGTGAGCTCGGAATGCAGCGAACATGTCCTTGCTATTTTGCCGCGAAACTCTGGGACCTGGCGTTAGGTTCTGGAGCGGTTCCGTCCAATAAGCTTCAGTTAGATTGAGGCCAAGGACTGGAAACAGCTAAAACGTGCAGCCACCATAAACGACGCCTCTCGCTGCAGGAGAAAAGAGGGCAAATAAGCCGCCGTCAACAATGCGAACAAGAAGACAGGTGTCCCGGCGACCGGCCCTATATCGCCAACGAGAAGCCTTTTGTCACCGCTCAACATTGGAAAGGCTGATGCCAAATGCTGACACGGGCGATGCCGTTGTCGTCAGCTAAAAAAGACGCCGAAAAAAGCCTGACTAAAAGCGGCACCAGAATCCGATCGGAACGAGCTCACAGCAGCCGTTGAGCGGGCGATTGAGCCCATCTCGATCCTCTTACGTCCCGGATCCCCTAACGCCTCTGGCCTTGCTTGCATGAAGCCAGCTTGGCCCGCGCCGAACGGCTCTAAGCCTAGCGGTCGGTTTCTTCTTTGATTGCACTCCCGAGTCCATGCACATCTTCGGGCGTCCTAAGACTCCATATAATAAGGGCTTTGTCCGGATGCCGTAGTGGCTTGACACGAGATGGCACCGTCGCGTCTTTGGGTGCAGTAATCGAGCATGCGTACGCAAAGTGCTTGCTGTGCAATCGAGGTTGCCCTAACAATGGTCCAGGATCGGCTGTGGCTTCCCGCTGTCGGCGATGACGCCCACAATATCTTCGTACCTCCCGTATTGATTATGAGACAAAGGACCGAGGGATCAGGCGAGCGGCCGGGAACTGACAAGGACCAAGGCGCAGGCGCAGGCACAAGCGGATCGCCGTTGAGCTGGACCGAAGCGAAGCGGCTTGCGAGTCAGTGCAAATGATGGGGTATTAATGGTACCGGGACTGAACGCTAAGGTCACGTATACGCTAACAGCTGCTTACGCAGCTAGCGTCGCGCCAAGCCAGGTCTGCACTTCTCTGTGCAGGTGCGACCGAGTCGACTATCACCACCACCACAACAACAACAACAACACCACCGTTGTCAACCTTTGCCGAAACCCCTTTGGCAACCACGTGCATGCTGCGAATCTCTGACCCAGGCGCATCCTTTCTAACATATTTAAGTGCACAGAAAATCCTGCGATATGGCTGCTGAGGTTCACGACAAAGATCTGGCGCGCAACCCGTCACCCGCTGCCACTGCGCAGCAAGGCGACCGCCGCCCCAACACACCGGAAGCCGCAGAGGTCAAGCCCACCAACCGGGAAGCCAGCTACGGCTCGAGTTCGTCTGCTCCGCTGCCTTACGACGGTGGCGCGCCTCCCCTACCCGACGAGCCCGTCCCAGACGCAGAGGATGACGGCTGGGAGGCTAGGTGGGACAACAATGCTGGTGCATGGTACTACTTCAACCACAAGACCGGCATCTCGCAGTGGGAGAACCCACGTGTCCCGACCGCTTCTGCCCAGAGCTATGGCTACGACAGGTTTGCTAACTATCATCTTCATTTTATGTCTTTCTCAGCCTAATACGTGCATCTCACAGACACCCTTATCACGGTGCCGCCGCTGCTATGACATCAAGCTCTGGCGCTCCGGGCACCAGTTCTCCTCCAAAGCGCAAGTGGGGTGGCTACAACCCAAAGATCCATGGTAGCTTTGACCCCAATGCGGACTATGCAAAGGAGGCAGAGAAGGAGGAAGAGGACGCCCAACAGGCCGTCTCCGCTGCAGCTTTCGCCGCTCGTAACGCGCACGGTTCTAGTCATGACTACACAACAACTGCTCAGTTCAACCGCTTCAACGGCAAGCAGCAACAAACCGGTCAAGGCCCGGAGATGCACAACGACGAGAATAAGAGCCGTCGCCAAATGAATGCTTTCTTCGACGTTGATGCTGCCGCCAACAGCCATGACGGACGTAGTCTCAAGGCGGAGCGTCGCGCACAGCCTCTCAGCAAAAAGCAGCTTAAGGAGTTTAACGAGAAGCGCAAGGCTGCGAAAGAAGCGAAGCGCAGAGCCTGGTTACGCGACTGATTGTGTGGGCGGTAAGAAGAAGAAAAGACAGTGAAGGTTCAAAACGACCACTAATGCAGGCTAGATTTGGGCCATATCCTTGGAATTGACGACTGCTCGTCTGTTAAATGAAGGTAGGATCCCACGCTTGTCTCGGTGCTTATGGATGCGACATTGTAGCATGAAGGGACTACACGTCTTAGCTCTTCGTTCAGCGCCGCGGCATATACTACACATGTTTTGCCTGGCCATGATTATCGCTCATCATGTACTCGAGCGGATGATCAATTATGACAGCTGGTCCACTTCTTGACTAGTCTGGATGTATACAGTGTTACCAATGGGAGCAAGCTCCTCTTGCTCGTAACCACGGCCGGAAGCTAGAAAACACTTTGTACTCTTCAGTGCATAGCCCGTAGATACAATGGCATTTCTGTTGCCTTGTTCACCACCCAGATACCGGTCCCATGTGCGCCATGTCAATCTTTCGGCGCATTGCCTTTGCAATGCACGCTATCTTGTGCAAACCCTCACCACATGGTTTTGTGTTTGCCGTGAACCCAACGTCATCAGGGGCAGATTCGGTTCCTTGCAGCTGCAGGCCGTCAGCAATATATGTATATTGCAGCCAACAGTCGAGGTGCTTCAGCCACCCTTGGACGCAAGATCCTGGGTACCTAGGTCTGCCATCTGCTTCTGCACGTCTTCCACTGTCGATGCAGTTGTAGTCCCTTGCGCCGATGCACTGTTGCTTTGGGTATGCTCCGCCGCTGTGTCTGCATCATCCATGTTCTCGTCGGTGTTCTCTCCAGCTTCCGCTTCCGCTTCGCCAGTTTGTCCAATTCCTTTCTCCAGTTCCTCCACGGCTCCAAGGAGCCAGTCTACGACTTCATTCTTGTCGTTGATCTCCGCTTCATAGACTGCATCGTGGCCCGCTTGGTTGATGATCGTGACATCGGCACCGGCGTGTATGAGAAGTTTTACGCTTTCGAGATGACCATTCAACGCGGCCCAGTGGAGGGGTGTGTTGCCTGCTTCATTGACCGCGTTGAGGAATGTGGGTTCAGGCTTCTCGGCGCCGGTCGAGAACAGCAGTTTGATGACGTCTATGCCAGAAATTAGACATGCTTCACGTCACGAGTGTCAGGAGAAGTTACCGTTGTGTCCATTAGCAGCAGCATAATGCAGCGCGCTATTCTTCGAATATGGGTCGATAGCCGCAGTGTAGAGTTCCGTCTTTGATCGCTTCGTCTGTGTGGACAATTCGGACATATACGAATCGAGCTCAGCTGCTTCGTTTGCTCGCGCCAAGTACAGGACCTCGTCTACAACGTCTTCGTCTAGCCCTGCCATTTTTGCTTGTCGGCTTGCACTTCGGGTGTTTCAGTGATTCTCTGTAAATATTTTCTGACAGGTCTGCCCAATGAAGGAAGCGGGGGCGGGGTCTAAAGCACTAGCCCCCATCAGTCGTAGCTCCTGAGTGAGATTTCCAGGGCTGCAATCCATCGTTCATCGCCGATGCTGCACCTGTCCCCTAATCACTTTACATATGCAAGTGCACACGCTTCCTGGCTGTGCGCTATACTCAATCAAGGGGTTTTATCTCTTTATCTTCCTCCCACCAGCATAAAATCAATGCGATACAGCACCCTTACCGCAGATCCTGCATTGTTAATGAGCAAGTATAGCAATCAATCTATGGAAGCGCTAGAAGGTCAACACGCATGCACGAACTATGACGTGCAGCTTCTGCTCTAGTTTCTCTAACGACCATCGGCACCTTCCGAATTCCAGATTCAAATATACCCCTTGCTCGCCTGTGCATTTGACAGTTTCCCTCCCACATCAGCTTCAACGGCCTAACACAACATCTAAGCACTACGACGAGCTCGAACCACCTGACTTGTGTCCCTGGAACCTTATTCAACCATCGTCTTTTCGACACCTAAAATGGTGTTCGTGAAGTTCTGGGAAGGATCTCGCATGCATTCAAATGTAGGATATAAATTGAAAAAAGAATTGAGCTAGCTTACGGGGCGTGCTGCTTACATGCCAGGACTCCACTGTATCTTAGTTCACAAATTGTGTTCTCTTATGAATACATTCGACGGTTCGGACGTGTGGCTGTGTTACATCGGGAAGGAAGCCTCTCCGCCAACTTGGAATTACCCGGTTGCCGTCCTGTCCTGAAGCGGCAAACTGAGCCCATATGAGCCTACTCTGGCTATTCTGCTTTGTTGAGAAGCAAGACCAACAATGGTGGACCTAGAACACGCAATCGATATTTGTACTACACTTCTCTTGTAAGGTGTCGCATTCGTTTACGGGAGGGAGCGTCTACCTAGATGCCGAACTACGTCATGCACGCATAGCGCTCGCCTTCACCTGCCATTTTGCACTCGGTTCAGCGAACTCAGACGGGGTGACTGCTTGATGGTGTTCCCACTCAATCCTTCGTCCTTCCGCTAACCCCTGCCAGAGGATAGATTGCGCAAGGACCTTGATCCATGAACCTGGTCTACCCGTGAAGATCCAAGATCACAACGGGCTTAGGCAAGCAAGCACCTCGGAGCCAGCACTTCTCGTCTTACCGAGGCCGTTTCAGAGCTCAGTAAAAGATTCCCACCAATAACCTTTCGGCGATATCGGTCCGATTCCAGACGTCTGATCAGAAATCATCAGATGCCAACCCGGCCTGAAAGAATTGCACCACTTTGGCGCTTCTATGATCAACGGTCGGACATGTGATAGAGAGCCTTCCCGCTGGGATCGACGCGGGCCTTGTATTTACTTAAATGAAACTGGTGTATTGTCCGTTCGGATCACAGCCGAACCCAGTCATGTAAGATTATTAGGGCCACTTTGGTTGGGCTCATGTTGATGGAAGTTTAACTTCAGGTACACTCCGCACTCTGCACCTGTCTCTCAATGCGCTCTTGTCCGCTCCGGCCTGTTGTCAATCATCAGGCAAATCGCTTACCGAAAGCAGACAGTGTCCGACTGCTTACCTTAGTGCACGATGTAGCCGTGACCCCCGAATGGCGACATGTCATCAAGGGAAACCATTCCGCGAGCTACACGTTTAGCAAGCAGGGAGAGCATAGATCTCCAAACACCGAGCCCCGTTCGCTTTCGTTGCCCCATACGGAGACTCTTGCGCGATTACATATGAGCCGGAGTCGTTCCCACAAAATCATCTGCTTTCTAGCCAGGTGACAACAATGGAGAACATTCCAGAGTACCATACGCGACAGCAATCGACTGAGAATCTCAATAACAGCACGCTCAATCCGCCCACGTCGTTTTGCATGCCGCTTTAGTGTCATGTCACTGCCATTGGCGTTTCACACGTCCTTAAAGTTTCTTTACTTTTTAGCCTTCCACGCCGCACACTAAGTTACCCCGCGGACGTGAAAGCCGTAGCGACGCCTGCGCTAAGGCTTGTGCAAGGGGGAAAGGCGGCATTTGCAAGCCACCACCTTGATAGTGATTACTGCGAATGGTCTGGCGCAGGCAATGTACCGATGCTCGACTGACGGAAGCCGCGTATTACCTTTCGGAGGTGTGGGTACCGTAACATTAGCTCTCGGCTCACATTACCCTGCTGCGCCGTGTGGCTGCATCAACACCAACACTTGTCGCCAGGCCGTTTGTCAAGAGGATGCGTGAAGCAACAGGATTCTGTCTCAGTTTCGAACCGGCAAAGTCTATTCTTGAGTGGCAATCCTCGGGTCAGCAGCGCATAAAGTCTTATGCAAGACATCGTGTCACACATCGGCAAAGCATGTTGTTTCTCCACTGAGGCTCGGTAAGCCCATAACATCTACACATTTGTCGATCGGTGTGATAGCCTAGCTCTGGGTGCCGCTAGCTGCCCCTACAGTTGAGAAGGACAACGTACGATTCTTAAAAAATCCTGCTCATGGTAATCAAAGAATGCGCTCGCAAGATCATGGCTTCAATGATTACGTCTGGGCGTTTACACACAGATCCTTCAAGACGGGATTCTTGGAACAGGGTCACGCTAGTAATCTTGCTCGATAGCCAATCAGCTATCCCCGGGACGCTATCCGAAGGCGAGACCCTTCTGTCACTACCGTCACTGCTAGCAGCCAGACGGGAAGAACTCCTACAGCCTAGGATATCGGTCAGGCCCCCTCTTATTTACATGACTCGATACGTCGTGATAACAGTCATTGTGATGTTTTTTTATCACTTGTCGAGTTGTCATGCGCCATGATAACATGCCTCTAAAGGAGCCATGATAGCTCCACAACACACGTACCTCTGTTCAGATTTGGACTAACAGTCTGCGACTGAGCATCTGGAACAGCATTGATCTCGTGGTCTGCCGTAGAAACTTTTGAACAGATTCAATAGCGGCACGTATGTGGGTGGCAGGCCGCAAGCGTAACCACCCCCTCTCTCGGTTGCGTGAGAGACAAAGTCAAAAGTCCGCGCGGCGCTCAGCTACGGAATTCGGACATGCAGCCCATCTATTCTTCACATGTAGGCTCACAAACGAAGTTGGTGACATGCATACGCATGTATTAGCGAGGGAGCTGTATATGTGGAAGATGTGACGGTGGTGCCTTAGTGGATGGGACGGATGTTATTTGTCGATGGTTTTTCCGATCTGGATTTCTTTTTCCCATAACACTGGTTGAGATATTGGGAGGGGGGCGAGCTCGTGCCCTCCATTGCCGTGCTTTCCTTCTGGTAGTCTCTGGCATTATGATTCTTTACTTGCTGTTTGGAAGGCTGCGTTTGAAGAAAGCTCTGCAACTTACTGAGTCGATGCTGTACAATGCCTATCTCTCGTACATCAGTCATTGCGAGAGATGTAACAAGAATGGGGTTGGAGACTGAGCAGGTCAGCATACCCCACTTCAGGTAGGCCATCACAACGTCAGATCTAAAATCATGCTGCGCGTCTCTAGCTAATACTGCGTGTCCAAGTATCCTCAGCAGAACCTCTGCGTGGGATTTGGCCCTCGAGCTCGTTCAGTGCATTCCGTACCGAACAACCCTGTGTCTCTAGATTTGTGCTGTGGCAGAGTTACTTCCATGGCACTCGCGTCAATGTCTTACATAGATGGAGATAATATGACGATCAAAGAGTGTTGTGGATGCAACTCGGCCCTTCGACGGCGCCTCCAATGTGGCCCAGGACTACATGACTCAACTCAAACTGTACATCATATCTACTCTTGCCGCGCGTACTCATGCATGCTGCGCGAAGTTAGTCTAACATGTCATACACGCAAGTGCAACACAGAAAGATTAAAGTACTTATGCATGCTTGTGGAGGCAAAGTATGCCGATGAACAAAATGCTAGTTATCTGCGAGACATCCTAAACACCGAGAGGGCGATGAAAGCGTTCATACTATGCTACACCAGCTGAACGACACTTTGTGAAGTTGACAAAGAAAAAGAAATAGAAGCTGACTTGACGCCACACTATGTGGTACGAAAAAAGCAAAAGATGGTGATGGTACATGAACCCGGAAACGCCTTTTGCACATATCTTCGTGCTGCATGCGTGTATCATAAACACCGTACCCATAGAAAAGAACCAAAAGAACAAGGAAGAATGCTCACTCCTCGATGAGCGCACCCAAGATCAAACTCTGAATGACAAACTCCGCACATGTAATCTTGATCTTATTCCCACCAACTTCTCCTTTGACAAGGAGCTCTTCGTGTACTTCAGCGTCGTCTCTCTTTCTCTTCTTGCCCTTCTTCGTCTTGCCACTCGCAATAGGCTTCTCGGTACCAAAGAGAGTAGCAGCAGCTTCGGCGACACCGCTTTCTCCATTGTCCACATACACCCAATCCCACTTGCCATTGGTGAGCATATCGGATGCGGTGCCGAGATCGGCACAGCGACCGACCGTGGCAGAGCCAAGAGCGTGGGAGAGGAAGACAAATGGTTGTCGCTTTTCAATTTCTTTCTTGGATTTGCCGGTGACGAGGAGGACATTCTGGTCTTGGAAAAGAAGGTCACGACCCTGGATGATTTGAGCGAAAGTGAGATCTTCGTCAGCGGGGTCGTAGGAAGTCATTGTGCGCGACCGTACGACACCATTTGGGTCGAGGAACTTGGACACGCCAGCGGGTAGAAGATACCGCGTGAATGGTGCAGCGCGCGACGAGTTGAGTGAGTCGTGAATCCAGCGCATATGCAGACATGGGACGTTGAGCGCGAGTGCTTGGATATATTTTGTGCTGCGAGAATGCGAGTCTGAGATAAGAGCGACGAAGCCCAGATCTTTGTATGCTTGTTTAAGCGCCAATCCAACTGACCCTTCGATGGTAGAGGCTGACCTACGGTGGTTCTGGGACGGTGTTGGTGCTTCCGCTGGCTCACTCTCAAACAGCTCGTGAAAACCCTGTTCCAAGACCTGTCCGCCATTGCTCTTAATTTGTTTAGCAACAACCTCCTTGTCAACGTCTGCTGCGGTGGAAGTCAGAACGAAAGCCATGTTCGTGAAGACACCGCTGCCGGATCGAGTAGTAGATGCTACTGACGCTGCGCGTGTGGTAACGTCCTTCAGTAGTGACGGTACTGCCGTTCCTCGCCGGGTGAAAGAAGGCGTTGTAAAGGGATCGGTAATAGGAGTGCCAATGTGAGAAGCCGACTTAGCGGGTGAGATGAGCGGAGAAAAGTTGAAAGGTCGATCGCGAAGTCGTTTCCAAAGGCCAGCTGTCAGGTAGATGCTAGCCATGGGCACCGAGATGTGCTCAGCTGACTGGATTGCTCTGCCTCTCGACAAGCTCTCCCTGGGTCGCTCCTCAAGAACTATAGTGGTGTTTCCACGTTGATCAGTAGTGGGGAACTCCTCACCACTGAGATCGTCGATTCTATCCTTGAAACCGACGACAACATAAGTGTTCTTCTTCATGCCAGTCTCGTCCACCTTGACATGGTCACCCCGGCGGAGATCCAATGCCCGAACATGAACTGCATCCATTGACGTGGTGTTACCATCATCGTAGCGTATCTGCAATTGGCGGGCAGTTGCACGACCAATGCATGTGGCAGGGTAATAATGGCTCCCTGGCCAGGAAGCGAACACTCGGTTTGGTACAATGACTTCCCCTGGTGGGGTTACAGCCCGTTGCGGTATGTCCTCATGTCGTCTTTCGACGTTGCTTGGATGTGGTACGGAACTAACGGGCTCGTCTGGCCCCCTATCAGCATCGAGCATCTCGACATCGGCTAATTTGTCGGAGACGATGGCCCGATGCTTCGTAGGCGTAAGTGGAGTGCTCTTCCGAACGCCAAAAGAAGCTCTTGGTTTCGCCGGGGAATTTGCTGGTGAAGACAAGCTCTGTAAGACTTCTCTAGACACCGGTTTGAGAGCACCCTGCCTCTCTTTCTTAGATCTGCTAGACTTTGGTAGGACCTTTGATTTTAGTGTCGTCATCCGTTTGTACGGAGCTTGTGCCGCTTCTCTTTCACGCGTGGCGGCAATAGCACCTTGGTCTTCTCGTACGAGGACTGATGCAATTGGTGGAGTATCCTCAAGCGCTTGATGTATTTGTTCGAGACGGGGTGACGGAGGCGGGTCCGAAAGTGACTCTGTGTCTGTCGCCGCTTTCGGTGGACTGTGAGGGGCGTTGCGCTTCGCGGCATACGTAACCTTGCGCCTCTTCGTTGATAGGGGAGCTGGCGAGATTGGAGCTACAAAAGCATCGTCATCATCTTCGAGACCACTGAGTCGCGGCATTTCAACTTCGTCCTCTGCTGCTGACTGCTGTGTCTCGGGAAGATTGTATATATCATCAATAGAATGGATGCGGTTGTCTCCCCGGATCACATCGCTTTCATTGCCTCTGGAGCTGACAGGTGCCAGCTTGTTTGACTCAGATCTAAAGCGCCCTTCTTGAGCGATGTGGGAAGCCTCCGTGCTGTTGATGTTATGTGGTGTAGTGGTTCCGTCCTCCGTAATATTAGTAGGACCCTTGTCTGAAAAGAGGGAGGGCTGTGTCTCGTCGAGAGCATCAGTCTCTGGAACAGTATTCTGACGTCGCATGCTCGGTGGTTTGGGTGGCCTTTTCATCTCGTTATGCTGTGACGGGTAGCGATCGCGGACATCTTCCACAAGCTGACCTTGTTCGAACGTCTCTGGATCTCCACGTCCAGTCTCTGGGTGCACCTTGCTGGGTTCGGTGACATCTAGTTCCTTGTCCAAATCTTCACCGTGGTGCTCTATGGAAGCCTTGTGTTCGAAATCTTGTTCCGCAAGCGGTAGCTCGTCATCATCCTCCATGACTGTATCTTCGTCAAGGGTCGGTGTCGCAGTGTCCCGCTCAGCCACTCCCTCCGCGTACTCATCATAGGTGTGCTCGTCGTACTCCAGATCGTCTTCCTCAACTCGCTCATCGTCGGGTCTCAAGAGGGGAGGGCTGCTCGGTACGCGCTCTTCGCCGTCAGGAGTCTTATCTTCATCTGTACTAGACTTGGGTGGCATTGGAGGCATTGAGGAAGAGATGACTTGACTTGTATACCCCGTCTTGGTAGCCATGGTAGTCTGATTGATGCTATATTGGTTCATCGATGGTGACGATGGGAAGCGCAACGATTTTGGTCGTGGTACACTATCGAAGTCTGCAGTCGCATCTGGTTGCGAGTCCATGACAGCGACAGACTCCCTGCTGCTATGAGGTCGGTTTATCTCCCGCAGATGCTGCTGCACTTCTGAGTTGTGTTGTTGTTGTTGTGATTCGCGTTGCAGCTGCGAGGAGGAAATTCCTTGCTGGGTGGAATTCCGTGACGGCTGAACTGAGGGGGTGCGATAGGGGTGCGAAGAAGTCTTAGGAACCTGTACACTATTGTCATTGCTATTGCGTCTCACAGTAGTCCGTGTGGCGTGAATCGCGTTCTGCGAACGATCGTTGGGGCATTGTTCGGTATTGTGCTCCTTTACTCCATTCACCGTGATGGTTTGCGACGCCTCGTCCATTGTCTCCTCGTCGTCGTCATCATCATCATCATAGTTATGGGACTCGCCGTGTACGCCACTTCTCCCACTCTTCGACTTGAGAGGCGATGGTAAACTGACGTCTGCCACCCCCCTCCTCCCGGATCGCGGTACCAATGGTGTGGGTACTGAGATGTGTGATAGGGAGCTAGCGGCCCGGCGGTGGGCATGTTCCTTTGCCTTTTGCGCCTTCACTTTCCTGCTAAGCTCTTGCCAGCTATCCTGCTCTATACTCATGCTGTGGTCGTCTCCAACAGAGTTCTTCCTCCTCTCTTGGGACTGCTTCACCGTGACATAATCGGCTCGTGGCTCGCTGGACGACCGCGCGATAGGATCTGATTTCGGAGTGTCGGGCTGTACGGCTTTGATAGGACTGGAGTAGGCGGGAATTGGACTGGAGTGTCGCAAGTGGCTAAAATTGGGCGAAGGGCGTGTGAATACGACATCCTCGGTGACACCGCCCACTGCAGGCGAGGTAGGCGCCTGGGTATTGTTGAAGGCTTGTGTGAGAGAGATATGCTGCAAGCCGCCATCACCTCCATTGCCAAACGCTGGAAAGAACATTGAGGGAGAGGCAGCGGTAGCGGGTGTGGTATTGATGCGCATAGCTGAGCTGGAGCTGCCCCTATTTCTATTTGCCAATGCCGGTGTTTGAAACTTGAGTGGGCTCGTAGGCGCCATGCTGTTCTGCGCATCTGCAGCTTCGTCGGCATCGACTACGGTAGGGCTGGTGGGTGTCGGCATGTGCTCGTCTTGGCTGGATGCGGCCGTATCCATCTCGTCTGTAGGCAGGTCTTCGCCATTGTCGTCGTCCGAATGGTCAAGGAAGAGCGACTTGGGGGCGTTGAACTCTCTGCCCTCGCTTGTGTATATGCCACTCGTCCATGTCTTCAGCATCTGACTATCCGGCTGGGTGTCCCCCGGCGCGTCCGTCATATTGAAACTCTGGTACATGTTGAAAGCCCAGTTCTCTTCTTTTATGTTACCAGTGAAAGTCGGCGCGCTGTGATGTTTGGGTAGGGCAGGTTTGACATGTTTTGCGGTCGCAGCGCGTCGTGGGGAAAGAGCGCGATTGAACGGGGAAAGCGCAACGGGCGGCAGGTGCAGGGAGGCGTGATCCGGGGAATGGCCCAGGGCCAGGACGGAAGGAACGCGATTGCCCGAGTGATGGCTCTCGGTCGATGTGGTGAAGTGGAATGGCTTGTCGCTGCAGGCCCGTTGCCTGAGGGCCTGGGAGAGTTGGGATGGGTCCTTGGTGTGGCGTCAGTCAACCAACTCCAGCGATCGGCGGCCGGGGTGCGACGCGCCATCCCGGACGCGACGAAGAAGACGGGTACTCACATCATAGAAAACATCTCCAAGCACTGTAGGGGCTTGCGAGTCTTCCATTGCGAAAGCTCATTATCGGATGCACTTGGTCGCAAAATGCAGCACCCCGCTGTTCACACGTCTTACCTGCAATCAGCCGAGACGGTTACGCGCCAATTAACGCGTAGTCATGTGCCAGTCAATGACCAAGCGCAGCGCTCCTTCTTTGCCGCTTTGAGTGTGGAACGCCATGTTCATTCCGCACCCATACACTATGGACTGATGTATCCGCATTGCTTACCGACCTTTGCTGTGTATAGTGCCCTTTAAAAGACACCAACATACCTTGCGCTATTCACCAATGTCAGGCACATGGCCCACACAAGACTCCTGTGTGCAACAGACAGAGTAGCCACAGCTTTTCATACAGATTCCGATAAACCACCCAGTCTAGCTGCCCTGAATGGTCAGAGGTGTCTTTGCCATGTCCTCTGGCAACGTGGTTCGAATTCATTCGGCCTGATTCACGGGCGAGGATATGCAAAGAAACAACTTGTGTCATCCAATTGACATAGACTTTGTACAGGTGTTACTCGACCTTCTCGCCATCCTGTCAAGATGTGCTCCACTTCAAAACTCACATATCACTCGTGTTCTAGTGTTCTTCTCCTTCTCCCTCTCCCTGACTTCATCCTCTATCTCTCCCGCATCTCCATCTCATGCCCTTTAGTCCTCTCCGTTCCTCATTCCCTCAGTCGCTCCCACAGCAAATACTCAACCTTATCCGAGGAAAGTATAGTACAAGCTGAATGCGACGGTCAAGCCAACAGCAGTCCATCCAGTGCGGATAACCTGTTGGTTCTTGAAACCAATACCGACGTCCCAGGCCAGATGCCTCAAGCCGTTGAAGCTGTGGAAGAAGAAAGGAAAAGCGTAGAACGCCTTCAATCCGGCCTTCACAGCCGCTGGCCAAGCAGCGACAGTGGCTACCATTGACTGCGTCTCAAGGTGCCATCCAGTGTATGGGGCAATCAGGTAGGCGATACCGAAGAGGTAGAGGGAACCTGAGAGGGTAATGCCGGTGATTCGGTTGAGCGACGAGGCGTACCAGGTGATTTGGGGCTTGTAGATGGCCAGGTGGGGGGAAACGGGGCGGTTGACACGCTGTTTGGCGAGGATCTCGGCGGCTTCAGACTGCGAGGCGTGTTCCGTTGCTGCAAGTCTATATTATGTATCGTCAGTATCGCTGTGCGCATACATGGTAGTCATGACTGGAGTCGTCGGGGAGAGCTTGATGCTGTTACGACATACCTCCGCTGGACCATGCGTCCCGCAGGCTGTACCCTCAGACTGGGCGCGGCGGCCCGTCGCAGACCAAGCTGAAATACCCGCTGAGAAGCCATTGTGTAGTTTCTCCGATGCCAATCGACAGAGCTGTCAAGTGTCGTGTGGTGATGGTCGACCGTCTATGATGCGCAACGCCGCCAGCCCAAATCTTCCCGATTCCCGAGGTCCCCCTAGGGCCCAATCAGCAGCTGAGCATTATGCGACTTAGTCATCCACTTTGCGGACACCCGATATTTTCTCGCGTGCGAGCTGCCAACTTTCTTTCCTTCACGAACCTCGATATCGCCGGCAATGAGCGCTTGCGTGCTGAACTGCGGGAATGACGGCTCATTTTGTCTGCTGGCGTTATGTCAGTGGATGGGGCTCAGGAGGGATCGGAGAGGGATTGCCTGTATTAATCGCTTGTGTTGACCAAGACTATGTCTGCACGAGTTTCATATCGAGGCTACATATTGTGTTTCTGCGCTGTGATTGTCGCTGTCTTACTGCATGATGCAGACCTGATGACATCGTTTGATGCAAAGCTTGAAGATGATGCCCTACGACATCCTACCTATGCTGCGTCGCGCTTTCTCTAGCCAACCCATCTTCCTGTCGCATGAGCCTGCCACGCGAAGTTTCTGACTAAGAAGCGCCGTCTTCATCTTCATCTTTTTGAATACCATGTCTTTTGATAAGCCAGACGTCAAGGCCATAAGACATGCGATGACGGTTGGATCGAAGCAACGTTTCCACACCCAGTGATTGCAAATTTTCTTCCCCATCAACCACGTACCTGCTGCGCTCTTTGCAACCCTGCAGGTGGAACAACGTGAACTCCTTTATCTGTTCACCACATGTGCAGCGATAACGTCGACACCCACATATATTGAAACCGCAAATGGCGCCTCTCAAACAGACCCTCAGTACTGACGCCGGGCTTCCAGCCGGCTCGTACATCTACAAGATCATTTCGACAGCGCCACGACAAGACCTTCTCACATACTCTCTGACCGATCAATTAGCTTCCATATCTTCAGACGACTCTTTGCGCTTTCATACTGCAGACTTGAGACCTGATGGCGTGATTATGAACGCAAACGACAACATAACATGTTTGGAGAGAGCGAATGATACGCCTAGCAACATTGTCACAACAGCGGGAAGAGATGGATTGATAAGATTCTGGGATAAACGAAACAAGCAAAAAGCTCTGCAAATCGAAAGCCGTGAGTGACAGTGACAACGCTATTCTGGTGAAGCATGAGGAATAGAAGGCTGACCGTCAGCGTAGCGCACAAACTCGTCTCAGCGTTGGTTTGCAATGCAGAAAGAAACTTCGTCGCCGCTGGCATCGAAAACCCCGAAGACGGTCCTAATAGCTCGCCAGTATACATTTGGTACCTCGATGTATCTCACTTTAATTGGTACTATATCCACTAACCCAATACCAGGGACCAGCGCAACCTATCAGCGCCTCTTCGTTCATACGTGGATTCCCACACTGACACCGTGACAAATCTCTCTTTGCATCCTTCTCACCCTACTCTGCTACTGTCATCTAGCACGGATGGCCTAATCAACATTTTCGACACTGCTCAAGCTGACGAAGACGATGCTTTGTACCAAGTTGTGAACCATGGATCGGCTGTCGCACATGCAGGGTTCATGTATCCTGGCACCGACATTTACGCGATTGGCACGGATGAGACGATCAGTTTTTTCGCATTGCAGAGCCAGAAAGAGGAGGAAGAGGAGCCAGCGCCGAAAGTGTGGGGCGATGTTAGGGAAGGTTTGGGGTGTGAGTATGTGGTAGATCTGGGATGGGCTGGGCAACAAGCTTTTGTTGCCGCAGGGAAGCATAGGTACGTCGTTATCCGCTTGCTAAAGTACCAAGACAGAGCTGACTGGTCGCAGCGAGAGTCTTCTGAACTTCATCCCTATTAGTAAGGGCGCCAATGGGCCTCTGGACTATAGCTTCGATGTCGATAAGAGCATAATCTTTGCGGGTGCTCACGGCGAAGAAATTGTCCGCGATGCATTCACCGATGTTCACGTAAGCATATCCCTTGGCTGAAATCCGATTCCTTAAACTTAACAACCTTTACAGACCAATACAACATACACGTGCGGCGAAGACGGTCAAGTTCGGGCCTGGAAACCCTCAGAAGAAAGCGGAACGAATTTTGATGATGCGGCCGGATCGGCGAAGAAGAAGCGCAAGGAAAAGAAAGAGAAAGCAAGATTCAAGCCATACTAAGATCTGGTATGAGGTGACATTCTCGAATACTCGGACAAATGGATTATCTTCGACATGGACTGTGCGAATCTTTTTGATGGCTCGGGCAGCAACGAGTACGGGCATGATCATCGTAAGTCCAGAATTTGCGCAGGCACTGCTATCTGGCATAATGCCTTGAAAAACATTTCGAATACTACCACAAATTGGAAGGTTCATAACATCATCATCATCATCATCATCATCATCATCATCATCATCATCATCATCATCATCATCATCATCATCATCATCATCATCATCATCATCATCAATGGTCGTTGGTGCTTCAAGATCATCAACCGGACGCAACTCGTGCGTGTCACCCAAAGCACAGAATGATTGCTCAACAAGGATGGTCTCAAACAAGAAGTTGAAGCTCATCAGTTGTTGTTTGGCAGTTTGCATAGCACCTTTTCATGCTATATTGCCAGTCAGCGAACCCCAACCGGGGATGCTCTTGCTCACACAATGAATCTCATCAACATGACTCATTTCTTCGTTACGCACACACGTCGCGCGAAGAGGCTCTCCTCTTTCGAGTCGCCTACAAGATGAATAGGAAGGAAGACGGTCTCAACGCAACATCCGACACCACTGCGATCGCCAACGTAGTAAAAAGCCATGAAAGCTGTTTACTAAGTATCTTAAGCCTCCCAAGTGAACGTTTCACAAAAATGCCTTCTCACAGACGTTGTGCAATAGAGGAATGTTGTAAATATTGTGGAAGACGTGATCTCAGTCCATTGAGGGTTGGATCGATACCGCATTATCGATAGATTCGAGGTGAGAGAGGGCACAGAGGGAGAATACTATCTTCTTTAGAGGGCTGCAGCTAGGCGGTTGAGTTTGCAACTGTCGACGGAACGGTACGGAGAACGATCGAAGGGTTGGAGAGCGGATGAGAGGCAGCATCACTGACTGCGTGAGATATTCGCTAGCGGGACTGAATTTGAGACTGTGGTACTAGACGAGTGAATCAATGGGTCGCCCTAACGAAGGACTTTACATAGCAGAAATCACAGGACAACTCAGCACTGAACCTATTGGATGCGTAAAGTGTAGTACAGTGCAACGCCAAGCATACATCGTCGGAGTAAGCCCTCGACAGAACCCTCGGTTCTCGCTCCCCCACCAACGACGGAAGCTAACGTTTCAGCCCAGCCACCCAAACAGGTACAGCATAACCGTTTCATCCCTCCATTCCCTGCCATCATCAACCCGACGTCTCGCAAAGCGCCTAGAAGCATTGTTCCTGTATGATCTGCGTATCGTGATATGCCTCGCTACAAGGGCGCCTGAGCGCCAAGGTATCAATTTTCTTCATGCGCCAGTCTCCGCCAGGCTTAATGTAGGCGTGTGGCCGAGTCCTCAAGGCCGATGCAACCGATTATGTTGTTTGGTGTTTGTCTCGTGTGTTTTCTACCGGTGGGAGTTTTGCGCAGAATGAGATGACGCGAGATGCAATACGGGTGTTGCGGCCAACGAGGTAATGCGCCTGCATCGTGAGGTTTTTCTTTGCCGAGGCAGCAAGCAGCCCGCTTCCTGAGGCTTTGTGTATAAGAGGTGCCTGGTGTCGCCTGAAGTAATAACCTCATCAGCATCTTCAACTACAGTCTTCTCTACTACTCTCTACTTCGCTCTATTCAATTCTTTTCTTCCGCTGGTCGGTTCTTGGTATCAATAATCACTTAAGATAAACACTATTACCGAAACCTTCAAAACAACAAACAACAAAACAATCCAACCGCCAAAATGAAGTTCACCATCTCTGCCGTTGTTCTCGCTCTCTCTGCTTTCGCAGCTGCTATGCCTCAGGGCGCCAACGCCAACCGTCCCGTGCCTGAGGGCGCTTGCTGTGTCGCAAACACCAGCTTGAAGCAGGATGTCTGCACTGTCAACGGAGTTAGCGGTCGCTGTGTCCCTGACAGCATCAACAACTGTAAGTTTTGCGCACATCCCGATCTGAATCTAGGTCGCCCAAGCTAACCAATTTCATACAGGCGGCGCTCAGTTGACCTGCATCGAGGACAACCGACTGAACTGCGACCCCAACACTCTGGAGAGGGGTCGTCCTCTCTGCCGCCGCATCCAGGGCGCGTAAACGACTAGCGCTAGGCCTGGTGGTTGAAGGAAAAGTAAAAATGTACATATTATAAAGATCAGTATGAACTGAATTAGACTTAGTGGTGGTAGGAGTAGCTGTGGTGTCCGGACCCGTAGTAGTATCGGCTATGCTGGGCGACAATGAAGATGCTGTATCGCATTATCAGCTCTTTTCTGTTTGTTGTTGTGATCCTGTGTTGTGGCAGTTGTGGGTCTAGAGATTTTAGAGAGGTATGATAGTCCATGTCCCATGTTATAATACCCGTGGACGTTTCATGGCATGTTATGAGCTAGCATCAAGCCAAATTTAGTTCATGGTACAGTAGGATGATTGAACTTTGAGCCGACTTCCACCTCCGTAACTTGATAGAAGACATCTGGAACACCCCGTCTCTCTAAACAAGACACATCTACAAGCCATATGTAGTTGCCATAGCCGATCATCTGCTAAATATGTGCGATGAAGCTTGAGTAGCTCTGTAAACCTGGACCTAGACACGAGGATAGTGATGTCGCCTTCGGGGTTGCTGGCGCTTAAGGTTTGTACGTGTCAGTATTCGGGGCTGTGCTTTGGGGTACGGTATGATTGAAATAACTTTGGTCGTGCTTCATTGGAGGTTGGTTGAATGGTAACCATGATGCCGTCGCTGTCGGCCATACTCGGGTACCTAGGTACCCACCTAGGTAGCGTCGCGAGAAAGACCGAACGTGATTTACCTAGGTACTGCTCCGCTAGAACATTGCACATCTTGGCAGTATCACGATCGTGCGTACTAATTGGGCAAGCATATATACACCGAATAGTGGATCTGTAGCGAATTTGCGAGTGTGCTGGCTTGGTGGGTGTTTGCTCTTTTGACGTGTTGGATCCGCACTGTGGGCAACGCAGTCGATGATGATCGCTCCGCCAATAGGCCGATATCCCCGCATCGAAAGCAACAAATACTGTTATAGAGATTGAAGAAATTGGAGAATACAAGATGCCCGCTTGTCACGGCAAGGGCGAGAGCGGAGGATATCCACGCAGGGTTCTCCAGTAGCGCCAGGGGCTACTGTTAATCGATATTGGGCAATACGAAGCTTGCTTCCAGTTTCTCACCGTTGCCAAGTTAATTCATAACTCACAAGGACGGCTTCCTTCTTACGACTGGCTCATGGTTAACCGGTTGCGAAACACTGTTGACGCAGTGACTGGAACTGATAAAGATGACTTCGTACCCGATCCCAAAACAGCCACCCCAGATGAAGTCGTGAATCAGATACAGAGCGACTTCGAGAAGCACTTTCCGGATGATAAAGGAAATCGGAAGCTTCTTCACCACAACGTTCGGCTTCGGCGTTTCCCCCGCATGAGGTTGCGGTATTCTAAATTCCATCAGTGGAGGAATCCAAACCATGAACATCCGTCGTAAACCAGTCTTTCATATTCTCAGCGGAACTGTACATAGCGGATTGGACGGATTTACTAGCGAAATCTGGTATTCCACAATTTTCCGTTTCTCAGTCAGCGCAAACAGTAGCGCCAAACTCATCACCGCCGCAGCAATCAACAGCAGAGCAATCAACGCCGCAGAGATCACCTCCTCTCTCCATCGAAGCACCGGAACTACAACCTATTTTTGCTTATAAATCTATCATAACCCAGCTGTCGATCCTATCTCGACCTGCAAAAAGGTAGCGTGCAGCATATTCGGGCGCGAAAGTCAAGTCACCGTTATCAGAAACGAAGGGCATAACTAAGGAAAGCCTCGACCAGGTGATGTCGTCTAGAGACACCAAAGTAGGTAGTGTGCTGAGCAATGGTGGCTCAATCAACGGTCAGTCGCAACGCCTTGCGCCTACAAATACTTCTACGCTAGCGAAAGCCGATACTCAATCTCCTGCGACGCCTGACACAAGTGAAGAATTACACCAGTGGGTTCGCAAGATGTACTTTGGAATCGGGTTTCATGAAGCCACGAGCAGTTTCATCGGCTGGCCGAAATTCGTTGACAAGGTCGTAGCGCAAGAGCCGGATCAAACGAAGCATGCGCAACTCAGGCGAGCATTGAAATTGTAAGCGAGACTCAAATCTGTTTGGAGCTACCTTAATAACTAGTTTGAGGCTTCGTCCAGGATCAAAACACAAGAACAGTCTCCCTCAGGTGACAGACGTCCAAAAGTTGAAGGCCAGGGCTCGTCGTGAGCGATTACAGAACGCTAAAGGCCCAAACTCACGACCCACTGCGACAGACGTTCCAACACCGCAACTCACGACTTCAACGCCTGGAACAAGATCAGTGTCACCCCCAGAATCGAAAGATCTTGCGCCGCAAGTGTTGACATCGCAGGCGTCTTCTGCAACACAAGTCTTGGGATCGCAACTCTCGGCAACAAGATCAGTACCACCACAGCCAACAGTTCCTTCACCCATCTAGATTTCTCCCAAGACCGTACCTATATCCAAGAATGAATCCCCGGCGCCTTCGTCTGTTGCGTTGCTAACGGCCGTAAAACGCGATCGGCCAGAACTAGATTTGAGTGACATGGATGATCTCGTTCCAAACACATATCAAACCAATAATTCCAAGGCGACTGTCAACGGAGTTGAGAACGCGCCGTTATTATCGGGCCCTGTCGTCGTTCAACGCGCGAATGATCTAGTTCCTCAATTCGGTTACATCGGCAATTACCCAGATGAAGCCGGACGAGGAGTCAAGGTTTTCCATAATACTAATGTTCCATTTTCCACATTCATCTGCGGTGTTCAAGGAAGTGGCAAAAGTCATACTACAGCTTGCATGCTCGAGAATGCATTGATCCCGTACAAACAGCTTGGCCGCTTGGAAGCACCTGCTTGTGCAATGGTCTTTAGCTACGGAAGTTGGAGCACCGGTGGATCAGGATTCAGTGTCAGAGAAGCTGTGCATTTGGCTCATGCGAAACATGAGTTTCCCGGGCAGAAAGTACGAAGAATCACTGTTTTGGTCTCTGCTGACAATGGAGCAATCAGAAGCTGCTATGAAGATCCAATTTGCAACGTCCGTGTCGTTCCGTTCAAACTCAACGCAAGAGCTCTCGACATCACTGCCATGCGCGCATTGATGGGGGTCGGTGATAAGAGCCCTACACTTTACATGGGCCAGGTCGAGATGGTGCTTAGAAGGATATCGTCCACAAGCAAGGATGGATTACTCGACTACAACTTATTCATTAGGGAAGTGAAGAAGCTAGACCTGAGTAGGGAACAGGCGCAAGCCCTTGACTGACGTTTGGCAATGCTCGAGTCATTCCTCGACCGGGACGGAAACACGGCAGAACCGGAATCTCTTCCAGGCGAGATGATTATCATGGATCTGTCTGATGTCTTCATGACATCTGGTACAGCCTGTGTTCTTTTCAAGCTAGGGTTGGACCGCTTTCTCCAGTCACCCATCAAGAACAAGATGGTCGTGTTAGACGAGGCGCACAAGGTCTGTTTTCTTAAGGTTCAATCACAATACTCTTGCTGACACAAAATTAGTACATGCTTGATAGTCCTGGGTCAAAGTTTCTTACGGACAGTCTCGACAACATCATTCGTCTCCAACGGCACTGGGGTACCCGCATCATCATCTCCACGCAGGAACCAACTGTCTCTACGGCACTCATTGCACTCTGCTCTGTCACCATCATCCATCGCTTTACAAGTCCTACATGGTATGTCGCACTCAAAAAACATATCGGGCCCATGGAAAACGACAATACTCTCATGCAACATATCGAAGGATTAAACACTGGAGAAGCGTTAGTATATGCTCCCAGCGCAGTGCTTGGGAGGAATGAAGACGACAGCTTAGTAAAAGCTACGGGTCAGCTGCTCAAGATTACTATCCGGAAAAGGATGGCACATGATGGTGGGGAATCGATTATGGCCATGTAACTAGCTGCAAATGGTTTGCAGTTGCACCAGTCTAGTTCAAACTTAACTTTAGGGCAGTCACACTAAGAAGCATGATTGATTGATTGAAGCCGGAGAGCTCATTTTTGCCCACTTCTGACTCTTGGCAAACTGGTGTATGCGAAAAAGAGTCTACTGCATGTTCTTGTTTGGCGCTCCTTGGCCCAACTTGAAGTAACCTGGGTGAAGTTTCTGGAACACCTGAGCAGGGTCGTACTTCTTGCTCACAGCGATCAGCTTCGCCATATTCGCCGATCCGTAACTTGCGAGAGGGTCCTCGAACTCGCTCGCGTAGTTCATATAGATGTAGTCGTTGTCCAAGTCCTTGCCCTCTGCATAAGCCTTGACATTCTTCATGACAGTCGAAAAGAACTTGAGAACAGTGGCATCATCCGAAGCCTTTTTCCACCAGGCGCTCATGTTCATGACAAAGTATGGGCCCTTGCCGGCGTCCAGACCTAGCGCATTACCACCGTTTTTTTGCATACCTTTGAGTTGGCCTTCGGTAATAGCCTGGATAGAAATATATGGCGAAAGGCCTTCGACGGCTTGAATCTCAGGCAGAAGCGTGTAAAAGGTATCAACGAGATAAGTATAAAGCTCGCGGTCGACCTTGAGGGACACATCCCACATAGTTTGGCGATTACCGAGGGCTTCCTCTGCTCTACCGCCGTTCATCTTCATGGTCATGTTGGCCAGCGTACCAAATGCTGTGTCGTCCATCACAGGAGAAAGAGCTCGGATCTCATTGAAAATAGGAGGATTAGCGATAGGTTGAGCATAGTGTGTTTGGACTATCGCAATCTTCCCAATACTGGGAGTGAAACCAAAGGACTGTGCGTGGTTAGAACCTCGCCGATGCACACACCGAAGGGAGAGAATACGTACAACAATCTCTGCACCATCTGTGTCCTTGGAAGACCCAGTGACGGCGAAGTTGTAAAGAGCGTCAAGCACGCTGTTGAAATTGTTTTCTGTAAAGATGCGCTGGCCACCCCACATCTGGCCAAGCGGAAACGCATCGAGCTTGAAGTTGGTAACGATGCCAAAATTCCCACCGCCGCCCCGAAGTGCCCAGTAAAGGTCTGGGAATGCCGCAGGGGTAGCGGTTACCACGAGGCCAGAGGCTGTGACAACTTCGTAGGCGGCAACGTTGTCACAGGCCCACCCCACCTTGTTGGAGAAGAAAGAAATACCACCACCCAATACAAGACCTGGAACACCAACAGGGGCCATCTGAAGCAATGTCAGCAGAGCTCCATGATGCCACTGCTAGCTGGACTCACTCTGCCGCCAACGACTCCAAGGCCAGACTTCTCCAATTTATTGTAAACATCGATCCACAAGTTTCCAGGACCGACATTAGCATACTTCTTGTCATTCGAAGCCGCAACAGTGTTGAATCTCTTCATCGAAACGGCGATGCCACCTTCAATGCTGGAAGCACCAGCAAAGGCAGCATGGCCACCACCCTTGACGGCAAAGGGGCACTGCGTTAAACGAGATAGCAAGACCAAAGATGACACTTCGATTGTGCTTGAAGGCTCAAAGATACATCTAGGATGCAATTCTCCCTGTTGCGCAGCCCAATATGTGCTAGTGAAGGTGTCATAAGTCGGGGTTTGCTCCGATAGAAGCTTTTCGCTGCCGTATATAAGTTTTAGGGAAGAGCACTATCGATCTGTCAGTGCTTTTGGCACCATGTGAGGCTACTAAAGAGGTGACGCACAGCAATCGAGCAACTACTGAGGGATGTTCGTTCCACCAAGCCCGAAAGCTGAGGGATGGCGGAGACATTAATGCCGTTTGCGATGAGAGCTTTAGTCACGTTGAAGTCTGCGGGCTCGAAGACCCCTGTTTGAGCTGAAACGAATGCCACGAAGGCGACAAGGGCAAGGAAGGATCTCATCCCGGGTTTGGTGGGGGAGAAGAAGAGACTTGGGCGTGATCCAAGACACTAGTTGTGATGGAGTGCAGGTTCGATCTAATTTATTCCACTACGTTTGGTAGATCTGCGTCGGACAACGATTGGTGCGCTTCATCTGCAGCCCTTCTTCCTTCTTTTCTTAGCAACCCGTCCTCGGCTGCAACCTACGACTCAGAAGCCATCGTACGGTAGCGTATGCAATAGGGCTGCTACCGCAATATAAACACTGCAAGCGAGCTCGAAGGAATTCCTTCCTGCAGATGGCTCGCGTTCTTGTGTTGACCAAAGCGTGTCTCCCGCCACCACGTGCGGCGCCTCGAATCTGCTATGTGGTACCCCAGCCATTGGCACTGCCAGACCTTTGAAAACGGAAACACAAGTGCAAACGATTTGCAGATTTTAGACTCATACCAACGGCAAGCACCTGTGGCTCAACGTAAGTGCGACGGACATACTGTGGATGGAGACGTGGTAATGTTGAACCAACGACGGGTTGCCATACAAATCAGGCCTCCTCAAGAAAATCCCAAGGCAATTCTACACACTCGTGGATGTACTCGCGCCGAGATAACGGAGATCGACCCCTGATGCCAAGCCGCTGAAGAACTCATCCTGGTTGCGCGGGAGTTTCCTACCATGTCCCCGCCCATGCCGGCAGCGAGTGCGGACCGTTGTACTTACATCCGTTCCCATCCCCGTACTTTCTTCGAGCATGGTTTATATACCATTGTATTAGGTAGTTTTCGTAAACGTTCTTTGTGCTGGCCTTGCTTTCATGGCTCATTTCCCATGTATGCTCTTTACATCCCAAATAGGGTGAGAAATCTGTCAAAGTTCAATCATCTGCACCCACAAGGAATGTGTTCCTGCCTCACAGTGTGCAGGGACGCTGTCCCGCTGTGCCGTTCCGAACACTGGTGGCCGGGTGGCCATCAGGATGCATGCCGCGAATCCCAAAGGCACGGTTGCAACGTCCCTCATCGAATGCACATTCCGTAAGTTTATCAGGTCGATAATCTGCACTGACATAATCAATTCGGTCCTCGAAGCTTACTCCAATCCGTTGCGCTGCATAGTTAGCATGACAGCCGGTCAGGAGGTGTTTAGTCGACTCTAAGCAGTCATCCACCTGCGTCGCCTCCCGTTGTTGCACGATTGGTAGAAATTAGCATGTTCCAGTCCGCCCGCTGAACGTGGGATGAAGGACTGAGCCTCAATCGTTTTTTTATCAGTCAGACGTCCGCTAATACGCCCGTTGTTGATCTTTCGATCTTGCCAAGCGAGAAGACATGCAATCCTTCTTCTCAGATCACACTCCATTGTCAACGCACCCCATGGTTCTTTTTTTTTGTTGTGCCCAATCATCGCTGGAGGGTTTTACAGGTGCTAGTCATGACGGGGTGGGTTTAGAAAAAAAAACAGCATTTTGAACGACAGGCACGGGCCGTGAAGACCGTTGTACGAATGAGGGCTGCTTACGAGGGACGTCTTCCTTACCACGAACTTCATTTATCTTGATACGCCAACGATTATTTGTCTCTACTCCGCAGTAGATTTCTCAAACCCTTCTGAGGCATTTAACTATCCATCATGTACGCAGCCTCGAAGGCGCCGGTTTCGAAGGATGTTCTTCTTTGTACGAATATTGTTATGCTCCTTCTGACATCTGGATTAGCTCTTACGCGCGCTGTGCCACAAATCGTCAAACGCGAACCTTTTGAGTTGCCCGATCTCTTCGTCTACTTTGCTTTCTGCTTATTTGTCGCACTATGGGCTTGTTATCATGTCGTTGCGTCATCGATATATAGAGCGTATGCAGTTCTGGAGGGAAAGACTGAACCGTACGCCACGATGAAGAACGATGCTATAGCGATGTTGAAGTTCCTTGTTACCGGCCAAATGTGTTTCTACACACTTCTCATTTCGGTCAAAATGTCGTTGCTGACGCTGTACCGAAAGCTGCTCGCCGGACTGCCGAGGATCTACAGAAAGATATGGTGGAGCATAGTCACCTTTTGCGTGCTGGTGAGTACTAAGAACCAAATCTTCTATCACGGTCACTGAACGGAGCTAAAAATACGTCTAGGCGTGGGTTGGTAGTATCGTTGGCACTCTCACTACTTGTGACGATCTCGACGCGGAGTCCAGAGAAGGCCAATGCGGAGGAACTGCCAATGAAGACCAGAGGGTTATTTTCAGCCTCTACTTCGCGTACTCCGTTGATGTGACAACTGATCTAGCTGGTAAGTTGAGCAATTGCAGAAAATCAGAGTAGTGTGCTCATATCTGCAGTCATGTTTCTGCCACTGCGTCTCACATGGAATCTTCAGATGCCTCGCAAGCAGAAGATAGGTATCTTTGTATTGTTCGGTAGCGGTTTTATTTGCATCGCTTTTGCAACTATACGTTGCTTACAAGTTGGTGTGGATGGCAGTGGAAAAGCTACGACGCCAGAACCTAGATGGTTGATGCTATAGACTATACTAGAATTCTCAGTAGGTATAAACTCTCTGTTGATCCATTGGATTGGGAATGTGACTGACTTACTTGGTAGCCATAATGATTGCCTGTTCACCCGCCTTCGCATCCTTCATTCGGAAGCACATGGATACGAAAAAGGCATCGTACAATGCTCAAGGCTTTTTGGAACAAGGAACCGATGAGATCGAAATGAAGAGCATCGTCAGTCCCTCAGGCCGACGCAACCGCGACGTCGCAGATATCTACTGGGAAGATACACATAGTAGCCAGGAGGAACCCGCGAATAATGCCGGGCGTATCATGGTAAAGACGACAGTGCACCAGAATAACGAGATTTCCACCCACAGTTCCAAACATGGGGTAACCAGCTAGTCTTAGAAATTGGAGTCGTCTGGCGAAGGCAGGAAAGTAAATAGTACTCTTGTGCAGTATTGTCGAGCTTGATCGGTCAATGTATACACAGCTCTTAAGCTTGTATCACCCACACATACAAGTATAAACCCAAAAGGCTTGTTCAGACGACAGGGAGCGAAACGGACCCTTGTATGTATGGCAGAAGGGAGATTGTCATTAAAAAGACCGCTTTGATCGATGAATAGACTCCCTTTGGGTTTTGTCTTCTAGCATAAAGACAGCTATCTCTCTTCATTATTACTAAAGATTGTTGAACATGTGAAATGGCTTAGCTATTGAACCAATCTACACCCCTTACCATCTTGTCGCATACATAGCCAGTGACAAGTGCATACGTTCCCTTATGCAGGATGTCGATAATCTGCTCGTTGATCGGCCACGTCCAAGGAGCCGCTGACACATTCGCGGTAGTCTCCATCAGTTGGTCCAGCATGATGCGAAGACCAGTATGCATAAAGACAGCAACCGGTCCGATGACACCGTAGTAAGACATGACTGCTCGGAAGGGTCCAGCAAGCATTCCCATGCCAAAATGATGTGCATGGTTCAACAGGAAAGTGTGACGCTTGTAGAATTCGGGTGAGACGCCTAGATGGTTGCCCATTGTTCGTGCGGGTACGTAGGAATCTGGGCGACCAGTGAAGAACTGCTCGATTTTGTTCGACCCAGACATGCTAATAACAATTCATCAGTCGTAGGACAATCACCAGAGCACCATTGACTTACACTAAGGCTCCTACGAACCCGGCACCAACCCCGATAGCGACGGCGCGACCAAACCCAACCTGCGGAAATTTGGGAAAGCTTGATTTTGCATCTCGATACGAGACTGTTCCGGTGGGGGTGTGATACTGAGGCATGTTTGCTACACGTCCGTTGACGACAGGAAGGGAGGATACGTATCTGGTGTGGAGAAGTGAAGAAGAAAAGGCTTAAACTCTTGTTGCTGTTTGTTGTTAGCATTTGACGTTCGCGTTGCGACGCAGGATTGTCGTGGGTGACCAACGATTTTGCTCACTTTGACGTCACGCATCGTCAGATTTCCAGGCTGCGCGGAACCACGGCACTCACATTGGACCTCTTGGTCCTCCATGGAGTGAACAATAGCCTACTGACCCTGTTAGCAACGCATACCTGTAGTGTCCATCAGGAAAGTCGATGCACTCTCTGTCAGCCAAAAGCGGCTCAAGGTGTTGATATGATGAGGATGGGGAGAGACAATGAGATCTCGGTCGCAAACGCTTCAGTCTCACAAAAGTGTACAGCCCACGATGTCTGAGTCTACATGTCCACTCGCGCATCCGATCAGTTGAGTTATTCGCCTAATCTCCTGAGAAGAACCTGACTTACATTGAGATGAAGGGTTTTGGAGACAGAGATTGTAAGTCATAAAAAGTGACTGGGTTCAGGTATTCATCTCCGTGCGCAGCAGTGCATCGGGGTGCCTTGATCTTGACTTTATATACGCTCTACTTTCTTCCATCCTATACACCATGGCCTTTGTTAGGTCACAGTGCAGTGCTACTCACACGTCTCGACATCTCAAAGCTCAATGTTCATGACCATGGTGCTCATGCCCCGCACCCTTCTCCGCAAAGTCAATCTTCCACCCCCTAGTAATGAACACACGCGGATCCCTTACCACCGCGTACGCGGACTTCTTGCCCTCGGCAGCATGGAACTCAAGCGGTACAGGCTTCCTCCTCTGCGTCTCCTTCTCGCCTTCCTGCATGACAACGACCTCAGCCTTGTTCTTCCAGGCCTTAGGCGCGCCAACAATGATGATCTTCTCCACGCGCACCTTCTCCATGGTTTTAAGGTACTTTTCGCACTTGACAGTACGCTTGTTGGAGTCGAGGTTGGAGGAAGTAAGGATCTGACGGGTGCCATCGAAGGAGAAGCGGCGGTGGATAAAGGCGCCCATTTCATAGTCAAAGGTCTCGCCGTCGTCCACGTACAGGGTTCCTGCAGCATTTCCGTCCTTGTCGAGTGCGACAACGAGGGTGAAGGGGTCGTATTTCATAAGACCAGAGGATCGACGAGGGCGGTCACGGCGTGGGATGACATGACCTCCCTGCATAAGCAATGGAATCTTCTCGAGGGGAGCTGGAACAGTGTGGTGTCCTGCACCGCTGTAAGTGGTGAAGTCGAAGTAGTCATAGTAGGGCTGGTCGTCCGCAATGTAGATAGAGACACTGTCAGCGCCCTCCTTGGTAATTGGCTTGGCAAGGAGACCGGTGGAACCAATGTAGAGCTGGTCGTCGACTTCAAAACCACGTTCATCGTCAGGGTGTACCCAGAAGTTGGGCCGGATAATGGGTGCGCCAGTAGTGTGAGCCTCGTGGAAAGCAGTGTACCAGGCAGGGAGGAGCTGGTATCGGAGACGCAGAGCCTGAGTGATAATCTCGGTGTAGGGGGAGCCGGCAACATATGGCTCACGGCGACGAGTATCGATGTGAGCATGGCCACGGAAGAAGGGGTAGTAAATGCCAGCTTGGTACCAGCGAGTCAAAAGTTCCTTGCTCGGGTTACCGAAGAAGCCTCCAACGTCTGCGCCGCCGAAGGGGAAGCCAGAGATACCCTGGTTGAGCACCATAGGGATGGAAGCCTCGAGATGAGTCCACTCAGCCTGATTGTCGCCAGTCCACATGGCAGCAGTACGTTGACTGCCAGAGTAGAAGGCTCGAGTAAGAACGAAGGGGCGACGAACCTCTCCCTTCTTGCGCTCGGTGATGGCTTGGTAGGTCGCGTTGTGGAAGGTCATGCCGTTGATGTTGTGAACGTCGCGATGTTCCCAGTTACCATGGTGAAGGTTATCCTTGGGCATAGTTGTTTCAGGGCCGTTGAACACCGAGGGCTCGTTCATGTCGTTCCAGATGAAGGTGTTGTAGGCGGTACCCTTGAACTTGTCGTAGTTGAACAAGCCCTTCCACCAGTCGATAGCAGCTGGGTTAAAGCAGTCGATCCACATGGAAGAACCAGGCCAGCACCAACCCTCATACTGGTTGCCATCTTTGTTCTTGACAGCCAGGTCCTTCTTCTTCAGCTCGTCAATGATGGGGTAATCGTGAGTGTTCTTGATGTGAGGATCAATGATAGCAACAAGCTTCCTGTCGCGCTTGTCAAGCTGCTGCTGCATTGTGTCGGGATTGGTAAAGGTCAGAGGATCCCAGGTGAAGTACTTCTTCTCCTGCGTGTACTCAATGTCGAGCCAGATGACATCGTAAGGAATGTTGAACTTATCAAACCTCCTGTCAACGTCCTTGACATCCTCATCGGTAACGTAGTTCCATCGACACTGGTGGTAGGCGATAGCGAAAGACTGAGGCATGGCCGTGTAGCCGGTCAGCTCACCATACTGGCGAGTAAGATCCTGAGGAGTAGGTCCAAGGAAGACGAACACGTCCAGGAGACCACTCTCGGACATCCAGTGAGTCTCCGTATCGGTATGACCTTCAACACCAAGAGCGAGTGGGTTGGCGGTGTTCCTCTTCTTGGTGACGTCGATCCAAGTCTCTGCACCGTTGAGCCAAAAGACACCGACGGTGGAGCCTTTGCGGTGGGCTTGCATGAAAGGAATAGCGCCGTAGAGGGTCATGGGGCTGTCCATCTCGTACTCGAAAACGTCAGCGTTGTACAGTCGGTATGGCTCAGTGTAAGCATTGTCGCCACCCCTGAAATTTGTTAGCTAAGAATCAAGATAGGGATGGATGCTGCGTACCTAGTCGTTTTGAGAGACAGCCTTGTAGCATGCTCTGGGATACCAAAGACGTGTGCGTATCCGGGGAATGTGATGTCGAGCGCAACTGCCTCAGGACCTCTCGGCTTGCTGTCCGTGTTGCCGCCGAAGCTCTCATCCCACCATGTGCTTTCGTCTTGGACAGGCTCTTCTTTCTTCTTCTCTTCTTCCTTGGTTTCCTCGTCGCCTTCCTTCTTTTCTTCTTGAGGCTTCTCAACCTTGGGTCGCCAGTGCTCGACGTTCATGTAGCCACGCTCGTTGAACTTGACTTGTGTCTCGCCATCGCGTTGGAACTCGATGCCGAAGGGTGCATGTCGGATGACAGCCTGGTGCTTGCTGCCCTTGCCGTAGACGACCTTGGTGTAGCCGTCTTCCGTGTCCGGGTTGAAGGCAGCGCCCTTGGACGGGTTCAGACCTCCAACAAGAGTCCATTGTGCTGCCTCGTTGTATCGCTCCTTTCGCGCTTTGCTGTCGTGGCGGAGTGTGATGTCGCCCTTTGCCCTCTTCTCTTCATCGAGAGTAACGCGTGCGACACCAGATTCGAGAAACGTGACAGTAAGCGGCAGACGAGCCTTCTCCTCGCCTTCCTTCAGTGTCTTGAGTACGACAGCATCCAATTGCCCGTCGTTGAATGTGATGGAGGCAGGATCGAGAACATATGGTGAGGTCCAGGAGGCCGTAGCGGAGACGTCATCGGCGAATTGGCGGTTGCGCTTGCAGAAGCCCGATTGACTGCATGTTTTGAAGTTCTCGTGCTTGACGGATACTATTGTCTTTTAGTAGCGTCCTTGCAGCTTCGCATGTAAAGAAGAGGAGACGTAGTCGTGAATTGGGGATATGGAGCAGTGAGCTTAGCTACATACCAGCTGGCACGAACAGACACGCCAATAACGCCAAAAAGAAGAAGACAGCCGTCCACCGGGGAGGCTGTTCCCGTAAAGTAATCATGACAGGCAGCTCTCTAGTAGACAGAAGCCAGCCCGGAATATCATCAATTCATCAATCAATCAGCCAACCCTCAACGCTCGAGATGCCATGTGGACTTTGAAGCAGCGCCAAGGTCAGGGTCCAGCTCCATTGCACAAATCAGGCATAACTTTATGCAAGCTACCCCACTAGACAACAACGAGGGCAGCCCATACCCCACCCCTTCATAAAATTCCAGCTACACGTCCGCCCCTTCTTCCCGATTCCTCTCTTCAAGTCGCATAGACAAATT